GTGCATATATCTGCTTGGGTGTCAGTTATGGTCTCTTTGGGGTATATTCCCAGTAGTGGAATTGCTGGGTCAAATGGTATCTCTATTTGTGACTTTTTGAGAAAGTGCCATACCGCCTTCTACAGTGGTTGCACTATTTTACACTTCTACCAGCAGTGATTAAGGGTTCCAGTTTCTCCACAACCTCAGCCAGCATTTGTTGCTTGCTGTTCTGTTAAAAAATTTTGCTATTCTGACTGGGGTGATATGATAATCTCATAGTTGTTTTGATTTGCATCTCTCTTAGAGCTAGGGATTTTGAACATTTCTTCATGTGCTTGTTGGCCATCTGAATGTCTTCTTTGGTGAAGTGTCTGTTCATATCCTGTGCCCATTTTCAAATGGATTATTTACCTTTTTCTTGTGGTGGTGCTCAAGTATTTTATAAATTCTGGATATAAGTCCCTTGTCTGATATGTCATGACCAAATACTTTTTCCCAGTCTCTGGCTTCCCTTTTTACCCTGTTGGAGAAATTTTTGGATGTGCGTAGGGATTTGATTCTTAGAAGGTCCTATTCATCTGTTTTATTTTCTCCTGGTTGTAGGTTATAATATAGTCTTAACACTAATACATACATGCTTATTAACTTCTAATATTCTAAACCTAAACTTTATTCTATATTTCTAATAGTATACTGAATATCATGCTACCATTTTTTTCTTGTGGAAACAAGACAAAAGGCAACAGACAGTCCCTTCCAACCAAACATAACACAGAGAACTTTTATTACTCTCTTAGCATTCACCAGAATAACTTGTGCTCTGGGCCATTTTATATTTGTAACATAACAGAGTTGAATCTGTAATTACTACTTTGGGTTGTATTGGTAATACGAGAATATTAAATCTAATCCATAAACAAAGAAAGCTTTTTTCTCTTCATTGTAATGTCCCTTGTTGAATTTATTCCTACATATTTTCTTCTTTCAGATTCTTTTGTAATTGAAATAGTTTTATTTACTTTTCCAACACCACATCAACTCACCCTCAGTCATCCTTAGTCATTGTCCAACTTTCAGATATAAAGCAAGTGTATAGAAGTTGTTCTACAGGTCCTGAACCGATGGAGCGCGTGGGCATCGAGACGAGCAAGCACGACATGCCCAACTTCCTGCTCGCGCTTCAGACTAAGTACAGAACCGAGGCGCCCCAGGCGCGGGTAGATGAGCAGGACCTAAAACAGGGGGGCCTGAAAGGGATAAATCTATGCTCCTATCAACTGGAAGGAGTAAACTGGCTCACCCATTGCTTCCATTTCCAAAATGGCTGTATCCTGGGAGATGAGATGGGCTTGGGTAAGACCTGCCAGACTATTGCTCTCCTCATTTACTTGGCCGGAAGATTAAATGACGAAGGACCATTTCTAATTCTCTGTCCCTTATCTGTTTTGGGCAACTGGAAAGAAGAGATGGCAAGATTTGCTCCAAGTCTTTCTTGTGCCATATATACAGGTGACAAGGAAGAGAGAGCCCGCCTACAGCAGGACCTAAAACAAGAGTCACATTTCCATGTGCTGCTAACTACCTATGAGGTTTGCTTGAAAGATGCATCATTTCTAAAATCCTTCCATTGGAGTGTTCTTGTTGTGGATGAAGCCCACAGGTTGAAGAACCAAAGCTCCTTGCTGCATAAGACACTGTCAGATTTCTCTGTAGTGTTCAGTCTTCTCCTGACTGGAACTCCCATCCAGAACAACCTGCAAGAACTCTACTCCCTCCTCGGTTTTGTGGAACCTGGTGTTTTTCCTAAGGAGCAAGTGGAAGATTTTATTCAGTGTTATCATGACATTAAGAAAAGAATCTGAGTCAGCAAATGAATTACACAAACTCTTGCAGCCATTTCTGCTAAGGCGAATGAAAACAGAAGTAGCTACAGACCTTCCCAAGAAGGCAGAAGTAGTGATATATCACGGCATGTCAGCACTGCAGAAAAAATATTACAAGGCCATTTTGTTGAAAGACCTCGATGCCTTTGAAAATGAAACAGCAAAGAAAGTTAAACTTCAGAACATCTTGTCGCAGCTTCGAAAGTGTGTGGATCACCCATATTTGTTTGATGGTGTTGAGCCAGAGCCTTTTGAAATAGGAGATCACCTGATTGATGCCTGTGGGAAGCTTCACCTGCTGGATAAGTTGCTGGCATTCCTTTACTCTAGGGGCCATAGAGTCTTACTTTTCTCACAGATGACCCAGATGTTGGATATTCTCCAGGATTACATGGATTACAGAGGCTACAGCTATGAGTGTGTGGATGGCTCTGTGAGAGGAGAAGAGATACACTTGGCGATCAAGAACTTTGGACAGCAGCCCACTTTTATTTTCCTTCTGAGTACCAGGGCAGAAAACTGTATGTACTTATTTGAAGGTAAAGATTATTCTAAAGAGCCTAGTAAATAAGACAGAAAATCATTTGAGCAACTGGTGTATCTTCAGAAAACCCTTTTGGAGAAAACTAATCACGAGGGCCAGTCACTCCGAAATAAAGGCAATACTGTCATCCCAGGCCTGTTGGAGGGCTCCACCAAAAGGAAGCAACTCTTGAGCCCAGAAGAGCTAGAGAACAGAAAGAAAAAGAGACAGGAGACAGCGGCCAAGAGAAAGAGACTAATAGAAGAGTAGAAGAGGAAAAAAGAAGAAGCTGAATATAAGGAAAAGATGGCCTGGTGGGAGTCCAACAATTACCAGTCATTCTGCCTCTCTTTTGAAGAGAGTGAGCTAGAGGGTTCTGAGGATGGGGAAGATGAGAGTCCTGCTGAACTGGATTACCAAGACCCAGACTCGACCTCCATTAAGTACGTTAGTGGTGATGTCACCCACCCTCATGCCGGTGCTCAGGACGCGCTCATCGTTCACTGTGTAGATGACTCTGGCCACTGGGGCAGAGGTGGTTTGTTGACAGCTCTGGAAACACGTTCAGCAGAGCCAAAAAGAGTATATGAGCTGGCAGGGAAAATGAAAGACTTGCATTTAGGAGGTGTTCTTTTTTTTTTCCTATTGATGATAAAGAAACAAGAAACAAAGTACAAGATTTGTTGCCCTTGATTGTGGCTCAGCACCGTGATCAATCCAATGTCCTGTCTGGCATTAAGATGACAGCCCTAGAAGAAGGCCTGAAGAAGATATTTTTAGCAGCAAAGAAAAAGAAAGCAAGTGTCCACCTTCCACGAATTGGTCATGCCACGAGAAGTTTTAACAGGTATGGCACTGAGCGACTTACTCGGAAACATGTGGCTGCAAAAGGCATCCCAACCTACATCTATTATTTTCCAAGAATTAAGGCTGTTGTTCACCATTCACAAACTACAACTTCTACCTCAAGATAGAATTATTTTAACAATAGGCCCAATGTCAGACCCAGGCTTCAGCAACCACCTAATGAGATGATTTGTCCAGAGCTACTGCATTGCAATATTTTTAAGAAATTCTTTTGTATTTTATAGGCCCCTGAGACACTCTGTTTCTGAATTTGAATTTCGTTGTCCTGAATGTATTTTATTTGGTCCCTGTAACACACGGATGTGTGACTTATTTGAGAAAGCCTGCTGGCAGCTTATCAAGATCTTAGTTTGCATAATATGCATAATAAAAAAAATTCCATCTTTAAAAAAAAGAAAGAATTTGTTCTACAAAGATTAGTACCAGATTAGTTACTAAATACTGAGGCCAAAATTGCCTTAAGTGTCCAGTCAGCTGTATCACTCCATCATTTCTGATGTTAACTGTTCCTCTTCGAAACTGCTTCCCCTCCCCAGCCGTCTTTAGTTTTGCCTTTTTGTTCTGTAATTTACTGGAGGGAAATGAAAAAACTTCTCAGACAGCTGTTTCTAATATAGGCCAATGAACATGGTTGAAGATACTGGTAAAGGCCAGCCATGTGTTTTCAAGGCAAGCAAGAGTAAGTCAGCTGGATCAAGGTATCACCATTATCCCAGGGGAGCGGAAAAAAAGAGACAGATGGGATCTTTTTTATAAGAGTGCTGGTGGATAGACTCAGGATGTATCCATTCTGCATGTTACTCCCTGGCCTTACGGCACAGTCAAGAACAGTGGCCTGCTGTTGGTAGGTGCTGTCAGGTCTAGTCTGACTAATCGCAATCCTGTGAACAACAGATCTGAACCCTGTCCTATCCTGTGCCATCCTCATTTTCTCTGGCACACTAGAAGCTATTGCTTTAGTCATTGTGTCAATCAATCTAGTTAAGATCTTTTCTTTTGCTGAGCTGCCACATTTTTAAGCATGATGTCCCTTTTCAAGGAATAGTCTCTCCTAATAATATGCCTAGAATGTGTGAGATGATGTATTTGATACTAGTGTGTCAAATACAGTGGCCTAGGAAAGCCATTTTAAACAATAGACCCACTACTCACTACTCAGCAGCAAGTGATTGAAAAGACCATGGCTGAAATTGGTTCCCCTTACCTTGTAGATTGGCATTATTGCTCCTTAGCACATTGGAAATGTCCTTGACAGCAGATTTTCCCAGGGTAACATGTCTTAAAATTTCTTGACTTCTGATACCAAGAGTGTTGATTATGGAGCCAGGCAAGATGACATCATTGATAACGTCAGTTGTTTTTCCATCTATCATGATGTTGCCTGTTTGACCAGTGTTTAGGGTTTTTGTATATAAAAATAAGAATATCCAGGGAGAAGTGTAACAGCACTATGGAATTGGAAAAATTTCTGAGCTTATACAAACTAGAAGTAAATAATTTCTGGTTACACTGTGCTTTGAAATAGCAACTAGAATAAAATTGTGATAGAGCATTATTTAGTATCCAGGTTAGGGCTCATAATCGGAAACTGATTATCTAAATGGTGGTTTTAGTCAACTTCAGTGTACACTAATATGGGAGGAGGTTGAAGATATGAAGTATAAAGTCTCTGAATTTCTAAAGAGTTAGAGACAGAAAATTTAGAACCCAATTTTTTAAATAACTTTCTAAAATGATTCTTACAGAGTTTGAAACAGCTGAGACACTTTTAAATTCAGAAGTTCATATGCTTCTAGAGCATCGAAAGCAACAGAATGAGAGTGCAGAAGATGAACAAGAACTGTCAGAAGTCTTCATGAAAACTTTAAACTACACAGCTCGTTTCAGTCGTTTCAAAAACAGAGAGACCATTGCCAGTGTCCGAAGGTAAGTGCTAAAATAAATTTATCCAAATATTGGATATCTACGTGGAGAATGCTGCCCTTGTCATTACAGAAACACATTATTTTGAGTCTAATGCATCTAAAACACTGTTTTTTTCATTGTAACAAACAAGAGTGTTATCAGATAAATGTAAACTCACTGGTGTAGGGGAATTGCAGTGCTGACCTGAAGATGATGCCTGTTTCTGACTGTATGAATCTACTTACTACCAGTTCTTTGGGGGAAGAGTGACAGTGTCTTAGCTCTGGTTCTAGTGGTGCAACAGTCTCAAGGGCTTGTTTCACATCAGGTCTCTGGTTCTCTTGTCTCATGTCAGGTCTTTGTTTCCCTGCTGTATAGTGGGTGCTATGCCTGTTCGTCCTCTAGGCCCTATTTGCTCTTTTCCTGGTACTGAGATTTCTTTTCTTAGCTAGTGGCAGGGAAGTCTCTTTTTCTTCTGGTGGGTTGCTCAATTTAATGGCAAGTCTAGCCAGTCCTCTTTTGGATTGGTAGATAGCCAATCCTCTTGTGGATCGGCTAAACATACCCTATTCACATTTTCCCACCCATTTAAATGAAAAAGTGAAACGAGGGCTAGGAAAGTTATACTGAAAGATAAACTCAACAAATAACACAACATAACTGATCATCCAGTCATTTCAGAATGGGCTGTGGTCAGCTCTTCCACAGCAGTGTTCGCTGTCTATCCATTCTTTCCCATTATCCCCATAACAGTGGTCTTATATTATTTGTCCTTTTGTAATTGACGTTTCACTCAGAATAATGCCTCTAGATTCATCCAGGTTGTTTATTGTTTCACAAGTTCATCATTGTTTTACAGTGATTGTGTAATGTCCATTGTGTGCCTGTACCATGGTTTCTCTATCCATTTGATGTTGGTGGGCACATGGACTATTTCCATTTTTTCGCTGTTGTGAATAATGCTGCAGCAAACATGGGTGTGCATACATCTGTTTGTATCTAAGCTATGATTTCCTTGAGGTATATTCTCCAGTAGTGGAGATCACTTGATCTAAGTGAGAAATACAGTTGTTGTCAGACACAGTCAAATTTGACTCGCAGCAACTCTATGAACAAAAGATCTGAATCCTGTTCTTTCCTGTGCCATCCTCACATTGCCTGACATACAACATAAGAGCCCATTGCTCTAGTCCTCGTAGTTGAAGGTCTTCCTCTCCTTCCCTGACTCTCCACCCTTCCCAGCATCATGTTCCTCTCCAAGAAATAGCCTCTCCTAGCAACATGCCCAAAGTATGTGAGGCAAAGCCTCATCATTCATACCTCCAAAGAACACTCCAGCCACATCCTATCCAAGACATACCTGTTTGTTCTCCTGGCCATCCATGGGATGTTCAGTGCTCTTCTCCAAAACCATAGCTCAATAGTGTCAATTCCTTTCCTGACATCCTACTCATTGTCCATCTCTCAGATGCATAGCAAGTAATTGGAAAGACCATGGCCTGAATCAGATGCACCTTAGTCCTCAATCTGACATGGAAATACCATACCAAATAGAAATATGTTTTCAGCTTTTTGAAAAACTATTAGAATGCTCTCCATAGTGGTTATACCATTTTTCATTCCCATTAGCAGTGCATGAGAGTTCTAACCTCTCTGTGTCTTTGCTATCACTTGTTTGGTTGCTGTCCTGTTGAACTTTTCAGTTGTTGCTAGGGAGAGCCAATAATATCTCATTGTTGTTTTTATTTGCATCTCTAATAGCTAGGGAGCTCTTATGGCCTAGTGATAAGAAGTTGCACTGCCAACCCAGAAAGACAACAGCTCAAATCTAACCAAGTTCAAATCTGCCAGTTGTTCCACATGAGAAAGAGGGGCAGTCTTCTGCTATTTACAGTATTGGAAAACCTGCTGGAGGGTCAACTATTAGTAGGTTCCCATTCAGCAGTACTCAACAAATCTTGAACATTTCTTCATGTGTGTGTTGACCATCTGAAATTTCTTTCTTGTAATGTTTCCATATATTTTGCCCTTTTTTGTGATTGAATTTTGCTTGTCTCCCCCCCCATTTTTATTAATTTTAATGAACATTTACAGATATTTTGGATTTCCATTCATTCATTACTGTACTTTTCTCCCTGCCCACCCCTCCCCACAAGTTCACTCCTCTCTTTGAAAAGGAAAAAAAAATTCCTTCATTGGTATACAATCCCCCCCACGCCCGCACCAAGTACACTTCTCTATGCAACCTTAATTCTGGACTCCTGTGCTAACCATGATACTCAGTCATATATCACCTCTAATCTGTTCTTTCCCTCATCTGTTTCAATGCAGTATACATAATTTATCCAGTTTTTTTCTCAGTCTTACCCCAACCCTGATGTCAGTCCAATTCTACAACAGTGGTACCATGCAGTATTTGTCCCTTTGTGACTGAGATAGTTCACTCAGCATAATGTCCTCCAGGCTCACCCATTTTGAATAATATTTCATGAGTTCCTTGTTTTTCAACGCGGCGTAGTAATCCATTGTGTGACTATACCACAGCTTCTCTATCCATTCGTTTGTTGATGGGCACTTAAGTTGCTTCCAACTTTTTGCTATTGTAAACAAAGCTGCGATAAATATGGGTGTGCATATATCTGCTTGGATGGCAGTTATGGTCTCTCTGGGGTATATTCCCAGTAATGGGATTGCCGGGTCAAATGGTATCTCTATTTACAACTTTTTGAGAAAGCGCCACACTGCTTTCCACAGTGGTTGCACCATTTTACACTCCCACCAACAGTGAATAAGAGTTCCAGTTTCTCCACAACCTCAGCCAGCATTTGTTGCTTGCTGTTCTGTTAAATTTCGCTATTTTTACTGGGGTGAGATGATATCTCATATTTGGCTTGTCTTTTTTTTGTTGAAGTGCTGGAGTACGCTTTAAATTTTAGATCTGAATTGGTTTGCATTTATGTTCACTTTGTTAACCCTTTGTTAAAGAAGTTGTAGTTTCTCCATTTAATAAATTTTTGTCTCCTTATCAGAGTTCTTAAATGGATCAGTGATGTCTTAGAGAGTTTTGCATGTAAATGCACATACACCTGACTGTTGATTACTGTTCTTTTTAGGTTACATGTCACATAATAGCTACTTTTAGAGCTTCTTTGGAATGAATTGGATGTACTTTAGGAATACAGCAGTGTCTTCTGGCACATAGGAAGTCACAGAGAACATTTTCCTAAAAACAGTTCTACCTGATATAAGTAATTTAAAACATTTTAGCATTAAAAAAATACAATGGGAGCTCTGGTGGCTTAGAAGCAAGAAGCTTCTCTGCAATCCTAAAGAAGTGCAGTTCGAATCCACCGGAGGGACGATCTCCTCCAGTGCCAATGAGATATGACTCAGTGGTACCCAAGTTAAAAAAAAATTAATTACACTGTTAGTCAGTGCCATCAAGTTGACTACAATTCATAGCAACCTTATGAACAACAGATCTGAACCTTGCCCTCTCCTGTGTCATCTTCACTATCTCTGATATATGTTAAAGCCCAAGTAACCATTGTGTCAGCCCATCTTGTTGTATATATGAAAATAAACTAGTATAGAGTAATCCTAAAAAAGTACATGAATTTCTCAATTAAAGCATGAGATTTAAGAACCTCTTGGTGTTATTGAGAGTATCAGAACCCCTGAAACTATTACCTTGAGATGAGCTTTAAATTTTAAAACAGAAATACACCTGAAGTAATTTTAAAACCAAGCAGTATTGTCCAAGGGAGGGTTCTCTAGAGACGCAAAGCCAGAGATGCTTTTACACACACACACACACACACACACACACACACACACACAGAATTGATTTTCAAGAAATGACTCCTGTGCTTACACAAGCACAAATATGAGTAGGACCTCAAAGACTGTTGGTAAGACCAGTGAATTCAGGGTTTGCAGATAAAGCCCCTTCTGGAGTTGATGTGTCCAAAGTCAGCTAGGCGAACAGCATTGCATGCTGCTAGCTTTGGAGGCTGAAGAATCCAAAGTCAAGTTGGCATTTCCATCACGCTGCTAGTTAAAGTTCAGGGTCAGAATCCAGATAGAGGAATGAACAAAAACCTCTCTGGCTTTTTTTTAAAAATTATTTTATTTAATAATTTTAATGAACATTTACAGAGAATTTGGATTTCAATTCATTCATTGCTGCACTTCTCATGAAATAAGCGTGAAAAATATTACAGCCACTGTGGAAAACTGATGATTCTTAATAAAATTTAAAACAGAACTTTTATACTTAACATTATAGACGAAGTATATAAAAATTATTTTTGTTTTGTAAATTTGCTCTCATTTCTTGCTCTTTACACACACGAGTTGATAACATGGCGGAAGCTAGATTAAGGGTCCATAGCATATCCCTCTACATTTCTTCCTGCCTTCTTCTCTTATAGTGTACTGTAGAGTTGGAACTGACCTGTAGCTGACCTCTGGCATGTTTTCATAGATAGTTAATCACACAGGAGGAGATTGCCTATCCTTCTCCCCTGGAGAACTTTGGTGACCTCAAACAGCAAGGCCACCAGACCTCCCTACCCAGGAGCATGCTGCAGTGGGAATGGAACTTGAGACAGGTCAATTGAAAAAGGTCAAATGTCATAGGATCTCACTGTCTAAGAATGCAAGACAGACAGATGTGTAGACCAGAGTTTTGTAGTTAGCTGGGATTTGAGGAAAGAGAAAAGGAGAGATTAATGCTAATAGAAAAATTGGATTTATTCAAGCATGGAGTTGTATGGACAGTTATTGTAATTGCTGCTGACAGGCTCTGGGAGTGTAAAAAGTTGCATTGGCAGAAGTATGTCACATATCATTTAGTGACAGAAAGTATTTGTTTAGGCTGCTTATGCTTATCAAACACATTGTGAAATCTGATTTTTTTGTTTGGAGGTTCAAGATCATGGTTTCATGGATCATATCAGTTAATTCGCCTGATATGTTTAGTGCTTTTGTTGCTTAGAGCTTATGATCTTAAAATGTTACAAGCAGCCATTCAAAGCACAGTAGTGACTAATTGCCTACAGTAACAACTGTTTAATCCCCATCTAACATTACAGAATATTTTGATCAAAGATTATGTAGAAGACTCCTTGTTTTTATTTTTAGTTTTTGTGTGTGTACTGTCAAATCGGATATGAGTGGTACAAGAGGATATTGCCCCTCTTTCTCCAGAGCATCTTGTGAATTCGAACTGCATACTTCTGGGATTGCAGTGAAGCTTCTTGCCACTAGGACACCAGAGCTCATTATTAGAAGATGGAAAATACAGAACAGAATTTAGAGTTCTCATAGATTTTTGACTCTGGAGCCATAGGTTGTAGATGAGCCTCTGAAATAATCTTAAGACCTTAACTAAAAAGGGTCCACAAAAGTTTTTTTTTAAAAAATTTTATTTGGGATTTTAATGAGATTACAGAAAAATTATTTTCATTCATTCATTGTTGCACGTTTTTCCCCTTGCCTACCTTCCCCCTCCCCAATTCACTTTATTAAAAAAATATTCATCCTTTTTTGCACAGTTACCACCACCTCCCCCTTCCCCTAATCCTCTTTACAATGAACCTCTTATTCTGGGCTGTTGTAGTAGCCCCTAAAATTTTTGTAAAAAAAAAAAGCTTGTTTTTGTTACTGTTGTTTTTATGAAAATATTCATCCATTTTTGCACCGTTACCCCTCCCACTTTCCCTAGTCCTCTTTACATGTACCTCTTATTCTGGGCTGTTGTTGTAGCCCCTAAAATTTTTTTAAAACAAAAACCAGCTTAGCTTGTTTTTGTTAATGTTGTTATGTACCGTCTATTTGGAACTGACTCATAGCTGATTGTCCAGTGGGTTTTCAGAAGATGTAAATCTCATAAACAGAAATTGCCTATCCTTCTTCCACAAAGCAGCTGGTGAGTTTGAACTATGTGCCTTTGGGGTGGCAGGGGAACTCCTTACCACTTATTTACCAGAGCTCCTTAAAAATAGTTTATCTGGTGAAAAAGTTCAATCTTTTAAGAACTCTCTCTGTGGAATCTCAAGTGCTGCAACTTGAGCAACATTGGAACTCAGAAACCTTAGAGCTATTGAGTTTATGTTAATGGAAGATAACTTAAAAGGAGGATAAGAAGAGAATGGTGCAGCAATGAAGGAATGAAAACCCAAAATCCCTGTAAATGTTCATTAAAACTAATAAAATTTAATTTAAAAAAAAGGAGGATAAGAATGTGCAACTCAGAATATAATATCTTATTAAGTTATATATAAACTATTGAATTTACTGTACATATTCTTAGTAACAATCAAATAAAGAAATTTTTTTCCCTGTTATATACCGTCAAATCAGATCCAGCTGGCACAAGAGGTGATTTCCCCTCCTCCAGCAGAGCATCTGGTGGCAAATAAAATTTGAAGGAAAATTGTATAGAATGTTGTTGTTGTTAGTGATTGAGAAGGCAAAATTCCATCCATCATGTTGATTCCAGTCCATGGTGACTTTCCATGAGTTTCCAAGGCTGTAAATATTTGTGAGACGATACTATATAACATTCTCCTGAGGAGCAATTTGTGAATTCTGATTGCCAACCTCTCAGCTAGCAGTGTAACACTTTAGACTACTAGGTCTTTTTAAGTAAGTCTTTTTAAGTCTTTTCCTTTTCCCCCCCATACATTGTGTTTCACACTGTTCTTCATTCACATTGTGTTTCATACAATCATTCTCATTCATTATGTTTAATAAAATTCAAATCACTATTGAACTATTCCCATAATTACCCTGTCTTTCCAGATCCTTGCTGGATCTTTCCTATTTCCTTTACCCAACCCCCACCTCCACCCACCATATTGTGTGACCCTATGATTTCTGCCCCACATCCATCCTTTCCTTTCTGCTCCCACCCTGCCCCCCGTTGGATCTTCATATACATTTTAAGCTATTTCTGTAGTAATGGTCTTAATGTACTATTTGTCCTTACTGAGTTAGTTCACTTAGCATAGTGCTCTCCAGTCTCTCCCAAGTTATGTAGTAATTTTCGAAATCATTGCTCCTCAGTGCTGCCCAGTATTCCACAATTTTTCAATCCATTCGAATGTGATTGGACATTGGGGCTGTTTCTATGTTTTTGCGATGATGAATAACACTACCATGAACATTGGTGTACAAATCTCTGTGTCTCAGTTCTGAATTTCTCAGGATATATTTATTCCAAGCAGTGAAATAGCTGGGTCATACGGAATTTCTGTGTTCATTTTTTTAAAGAAATGCCACATTGCTTTCCAGAGTGCTAGTACCATTTTACAATCCCTCCAGCAGTGTATGAGAGTTCCAGTCTGCATCCTCTCCAACATTTATTACTTGCTGTTCTATTAAACTTTACCACTGCTAAGGGAGCTCAGGTGACCTACTGGCAAGAAGCCGTGCTGCAATCCCAAAGGTTCAAGGCTAGCAGCTGCTCTTCTGGAGAAGGATAGACAATCTCCTGTGTGATTAACTGCTTCTAACAGCCCTCCAGACGGTTAGCTATGAGTCAGTTCCAACTCTGCAGTAACAGTAATGGGTTGAGATAGTATTTGTGTGTGTGTGTGTGTGTGTGTGTGTGTGTGTGTGTGAGAGAGAGAGAGAGAGAGAGATAGTATCTTACTCTGGTTTTGATTTGCATCTCCCTTAGTGCCAGTGACTGAGCATTTCTTCATGTGTCTATTGGCCATCCGAATATCTTCTTTGTGAAAGGTCTTCTCATGTATTGCCCATTTTGTAATTGGTTATCGGGTTTTTCCTTGTGGAAGGCCTGTAATATTCTATAAACTTCTATTATGAGACCCTTGTCTGAGACAGTATTACTAATTTTCCCCCCCTGTCAATAGATTTTCTTTTCACCCTGTTGGAAAAAGTTTTTGATGTGCACAGGGATTTAATCCTTAGATTAATCCCATCAGTTTTATTCTCTCCTGATTGTGTATTTCTGTCTGTATTTGTCTGTCTCTTTATACCATGGGTTATGCCTTCTTGGCTTACTCGCTCTAGGTTTCTGTACTACCTTGAGTTGATTTTTCTGTATGGTGATAGGTGTACATCTTGCTTCAGCTTTCTGTAGGTAGTTAGCACCATTTGTTGGAGAGGTTGTCGTTTCCCCCTTTGATAGGTTTTGTTTCCTTGACGAATATAAGGCTGCTGTAGATTAATGGGTTGATTTCTGGGTTCTTGATTCTGATCCATTGGTCTATGTGTGTGTCATTGTCCCAGGACTATGCTGTTCTAGTTATTAAAGCTGTGTAGTAGGGTTTGGGATCAGGGAATGCTGTGCTTCCAACTTCACTCTTGATTTTCAGAGTTTTCTTTTTTTCAATCTTGGATAAATATATACCACGGGAAACTTTGCTGGCATCTTCCATAGGGAGCTGCTAACCCAAAAGGTAACACCTTTCTTCTGTGTGTGTTCCCTGGCAGCTTCATGGGAAAAGATGGACAGCCTTCTAACACGTTGCCACAGACTTTTAAATTGACAACCATGCTTAGAAACACATTTGCTGTCATTTGTGGCAACGTGTTAACATCATTGAAAACCTCCCTGGAGGCTCAGCTTTATGACTTGGTTCCAACTTGATGACATTGAGTTTTTGTTACTTAATTTGAGGTAAATTTGAAAGATCATATTGTCCAAATAAAACTTAATTTTTTAAAAAGCAAGGAAGAGTGATAAAAGCAGGGAACAATATCAAATTCTGGAATAAAGACTTTTGTACATTTCTTGGGAGATATTTTGGTTTTTTCAAAGGTTATGATGGGAGGGGCTGGTTTGCACTGGGAAACTATCATTGTCTATTAAACTTTACCAGAACTTAATATTCTTCAGGAATAGTTAGGAACAGGAGGTAATTTCAAAGAAAAATTTTGTAGTCACTTGTAGGAAATGAGAATTACTGTACTATTCTATCTTCTCTCTTTTTAAAAACTTGTTTATTTTTCTAGCTAAATCTGATATATAACTTATTGGTTAAAATTAATTAATTTTAAAATATTGATAGTTAATGTGTTGGGGTTTTTTTTTCTCCTCCTTCCCTCCTCCCGCGATGTCAGCTTGTTGCTCCAGAAAAAACTTCATAAATTTGAGTTGGCCTGTTTGGCCAATCTTTGTCCAGAAACTGCTGAGGAGTCCAAGGCTTTGATTCCAAGGTTAGTAGTGGATTGTATTGGATAAATTCCTGAAAATAGAATTACTCTATCTAAACAATGTGTGCATTTAAAATTTGTATTGCTATTGTCCACATTGAATGAGAATGTATTTTTTATATTTTATACCACAAATACTAGCAATTATATTGAATATCTTGGATTCTCATACATTGGTGATAAGAATACAACTCGAATGCTTGCTTTGGCAGCACATAAACTGAAATTGGAGCAATACAGAGAAGATTAGCATGGCCCCTTGTACAAGGATGACATGCAAATTCATGAAGCATTCCATATGTTTGTCCAGAATGAAGGCTGCACAGTGGAGTGGACTTGGGGGAGAGGGATTGCATAACAATGGAAGAGTTTTTCTTTTACTTTTCAAGGAGAAGAGTGAATTGGGGGATAGGGAGCATGGAGAAAAGTGCAACAATGAATGAACGGAAACCCTAAGTCTCTGTAAACTTTAATTAAAAATAATTTAAAAAAAGAATAAAAATTGATACTATCACATTGGAGAGAAAGCTGACAAAAATCTAGAAAAGTTACAGATGCATACACATTCTCGGTGACTTCAGAATTGTTCATGGGTACTTTCCCTACAGCAGCCTATGCTGGTTTATAAGAAGACCTCTATTCATTGCAGAATTTTCATCAATAACAGAAATACATCAACAGTCTGACCAGTGAACAAGAGTATATGTCATTGAATAATCTGACAATTTGTTGTTGTTAAAAGCTGTTGACTCAACACAACTCTTAGCAATTCTATGAACAGCATATCTGAACTCTGTCTAATTATACACCATCCCTAGTCACTGTCCAATTTTCAGATGGATAGGAAGCAGTTGAAAAGGCTTAAATCAGGCATACCTTAGTCTTTAACTGTCATTAGAGCTCTTCAGAACTCTAAGAAGGTTCCTGACCACAGTATTTCCTAATGCTATATGTCTCCTGGCTACTGATACCCAAGGTTGTTGATTTTGGATCCAAGTAAAATGAAATCATTGACCATTTCAATTTTTTCCCCCAGCTGTCATAATGCTGCCTGTTAGCCCAGTGGTGAAGATTTTTGCTTTTTTGATGCAGAAATGTAATGCATATTGAAGGCTGTCTTTGACCTTAATGCAGGAAACACATCACATTCCCTTTCACTTTGCGCAAGCAAAGCTGTGTAATCTGTGTACTTCAGGTTGTTGATGAGCTTTCCTCTGAATCTCGTGCCACATTCATCTTCATAGAGTCAAACCTCTCATGATTTGCTCTGAATACAGATTAAATTGGTATAGAGAGAAGTTGGAATCCACTAAGAATTGCATAACAACTCCCCTCCCCCACCCCCCCCAAAAAAACAAACCCCAAACCAAACAGTTTAGAGAAAGGATAAAACTCTTGAGGCACACTTTTCTTGATTATTAAACCAAGTAGTATTCCACTGGTATGTTTGAACACCAGCTTCCTGGTCTAGGTATAGCAATTGTTCGTTTTTGGGTTTTTGACCAGGAAGAGTTTATTTTCTTAAAACAAAACAAAACAAAACAAAACCTTTTTTTGTTTTTTAATATGTGTACCATCAAATCAGATCTGACCCATACAGGATCTGGTGGGTTCGAACCTCACACCTTCAGGATTGCAGTGCAGCTTCCTGCCACTAGGCCACCAGACCTCCCTATTTCAGTTTTCTATTAGACATTCTTCGGAAATCATTATTTTACTCTGTATAGCTTATTAAGTTATAAGATATAGTAATATCAGTGTTAGAAAAACTATGAAAAAGATATGAGGATAATCAGTTAAACTAAATATAAAGGAAAACTTTCACAAAGAACTGAGAGCTTTATACATTTACTAAAATGAATAGATTGCAATTCAGAAACTCTGCATCTCAAAGCAAATTTTTTTCAATTCTTTTTAATAGGTTTTTAACCCTACTTTTTTAAGAAGGACACCTATTTATTAAATAATCTTATTTTAAAAATAAATCTGGATCCGATATAGCCAATTTATCCCCCAAACGCTAATCATATTTCATTTTACTTTGGGAAGAAAGTAACTTTCTGACTACGTGAAATGCAAAGTTTAACAGTTGATTGGTCTGTGGTTGGTTTTTTTAAAACCACGCAGCACAAAATTTTTAGAGCTATTAATATAAAACGTTTTAATGTACTTAAGTGCATGATACTAAGTACTGGCCAGCTAGCTCCTGCCATTTTACTTCTACCTTTGTTCTCCCAAGGAAAAAGAAACTAATCTTAAATTGCATCTTCAGCAGAATAATCTTATATATACTTTGTAAGCAAAATACGAGCTTTATTTATATAGTTGTTGGATTTTACATGCAAGCAAGATTCTACTAAGATTATCCAAAAATGACTGGAACAGCACATCAGCAGAGAACTGCCAGAAGTCCAGGCTGGGTTTAGAAGAGGTCATGGTACTAGGGATATTGTTAGATGGATCTTGGCTGAAAGCAAGGAATACCAGAAGAAAGTCTATCTGTTTTTCATTGGTTATGCAAAGGCATTGGACTGTGTGGATCATAACAAACTGTGGCTGCCTCTGATAAGAACGGGAATCCCAAAACACTTGATCATGCTAATGTGAAACCTATACTTGGACCAAGAGGCAGTCGTCAGAACAGAGCAGGGAAACACTGCATGGTTCAAAATTGGGAAAGGTGTATACCAGGGATGTGTCCTATCTCCATACCTTTTTAGCCTGTATGCAGAACAGATTATCCGAGAGGCTGAGCTCTATGAGGAGAAGTGTGTTGTCAGGTTAGGAGGAAGATTCATCTAGTAACAATCTGCATTATGCAGATGACATAACCCTGCTTGCTGAAACTGAGGAGGACCTGATGCACTTGCTGCAGAGGGTCCAGGACTGCAGCCTTCAGAATGAAACCTATACTTGAACAAAGAGGAGCTCGTCAGAACATAGGAAGAAGACATTGCATGGTTCAGAATCAAGAAGAGTGTCTGTCAGGGATGTATTCTTTTTCCACACCTTTTCAATCTGTCTTCAGAACAGATCATCTGGGATCCTGGGCTGTACAAGGAGGAATGTGGCATCAGGATAGGAGGAAGATTCACTTGCTGAAACTGAAACCTCAAGTGCTGGCTGCAGAAGGTTGAGGACTGCAGCCTTCAATTTGGATTGAAGCTCAATATCAAGAAAACAGATTCTCATCACCGGGCTAATTTGCAGAATCATGATGGATGGTGAAGAGATTGAGATTGTTAACAGTTCACCTCGTTCCACACTCAGTACTCTTGGTACCAGCAACCAGGAAATCAAGAGACAAATTGCATTTGGAAAGTCAACTGTCAGGGACCTCTCCAGAGTGCTGAAGAGCAACAACATCAGGCTAGCGACTAAAGTATACCTGATCTAGCCATAGTCTTCCCAGTTGCAGCTGTGCATCACAGAGCTGGATGATGACTAGGGATAATAGAAAATTGATGCTTTCAAGCTCTGATGCTGGAGAAGAGTGTTGGATATAGCATGGTTCGTCCTAGAGAGGGTGAAGCCAGGCTGCTCCTTGAAGGCAAGGATTCTGAAGTTTCGTCTGGCATACTTTGAGCATGTTGCAAGGAAAGACCAGTCCTTAGGGACATCATGCTTGGGGAGGGTGGAGGGACAGCACAAGAGATGAGATGGATAATTCAGTGACTGGAGTCATAGGAGTAGATGTGTCAGAGATCGTGAGGTTGGCACAGGATAGAGCAGGATTCAGGGCTCTTGTACTGAGGGCCACTATGAATCACTAGCAACTCAACAGCACATGATAACGCAACAGTTTTATTCTGAGATTCAGTGTTACCTCAAAGCATAATTACTGTATTAACTTTGTAATTGTCCAGTTGTAAACAGTTCAGCAAAAGCGTAGTACACCACGAGCCTCTATTCTTAAGTCACTTAAAAAAGGCAGGCTTGGTCACACTCATTTAAAAACAAATCTTCCCTATGTTATTTGCTAATGTTTAGTTTCAGTTTAACTTCTGAGAATGAAATAGAGGGATTATAGTTCTATGTATCTCATCTTGATTTTTCAGAAGTCCTGAAAGGGAGTTCTTTACAGCTTTGCTTTGTCGGCCTGAAGCTGAAGCTTCTGTAGTTTCATAACCATCCCCATGTTGCCAATGGTTTTCTGTTTCCCATGATAGAAGGCCAGCTGAGGGTTGATCTTGGTTGTCATTAAAGCCAGCAAGTCCACGCCTGCCATCCTGATGATGCAGTCAGCCTTGTCTTAAGGAGGATGTACTTATCCTTAGTCATTCTTCACATCTGCCACCCAGGTGGCTTCTTTACTCACAGGGCGTCCTTAACCTTAAATGTGAAAATGCCACCGATTTTCTTTACAGACTATTCCCCTTCCTCTTCAGGCTTCTTCTCAATCACTTTAAAGATAAGATTGGCCTGAAATTCACCAACAGCAGAGCTGGTTGGAGCAAACTCAATTTTGTTGTTTGTCTTTGATTGTCATCAAGTCAAGCATGACTCAATAGTGACCTTATGAACAAAAGACCTGAAGCCTTTTTATAATTGTGTCATCATTTATCAAAAACCTCAATATTCTAAATGAAACGATAGCTTTAAGAAAGCCCATCTTGTAGAGTGTTAAAACGACAGCTCTTACAGTCCCTAAATTATGCTGCACATCACCCTTTGCTCAGGCATAGGTTTAGCACAAGCACAGTTTGGTATTGTGGAATTCCTGTTCTCCTCAGTGTTAGCCGTAATTTGTTATGATCCACACAGTCACCTGCCTTTGCATAGTCAGTAAAACACAAATAGACATTCTTCTGGTATTCTCTGCTTTAACCCAGGATCCAGCTGATGTAAGAAATGATATCCCTCGTGTTACAGCTTCTTCTAAATCCACATGGAATTTCTGGAAGTTTATGAACTAGAACAATGTGGAATAATATGAACAAATCCTAAAGAAAAAGTATCAGATTTTGAAGGGTGGTTCCACTGAGGCTATTTTTTTACCTTGT